CGCGGCGTGGCGAGCCCAAGCTGCCCCCCTGGCCTTCCTCCTTCATGCGGAGCCTTCACCCTCCTCAGGGTTTTTGAGGCAGAATTCCATCCCTTCCCGAAGTTTGGAAGACCTCAAGCAAAACTTGAGATGGGGATGAGGTTTGTGGGGTGGGTGGGTGTCGCTTCAAGGTAAGTTTTTTGGGGGGTATATTCATCTCCAAACGTCTCGTTTAAGGTGTTTTGGTTCAAAGTTTTGGGGCGTGAGGAATCTTGGGGTTAAAGGAGCTAAAGTTGTGAGGTGCAGTGTTTTAAATGTTAAGGCCACTGGTTTGGGGATAAATGATTTCCAGCCTGACACGTAAACACACTTAGAATAGAGGGTGAAAAAGGGTGAGGGGTTCCTTTGTAAGCTTTCCAGTATGTGGTATGATTTGGAGTTGCTCAGGAGTTGTTGGAGGTGAGTCAGCTCTGATAGTGTCTCTTTTTTTAGCCTGGCTATGGTAGACCAGTCCCTGAAAATATATCAGTAAACAGTTGACGTGTATTGTAGTCGCTTTATGTGATTGCTGTGGCAAAAAAGCTCAATTTATGAACTCAGTTTGTGAATTTTGGGTTTGGGGTGTTGAGCCCACCCCTGTTGCTATGTGTGTGTGTGTTGGTGTTTGTGAAGTGGGTGTTGCTTGATTCCCGTTCGAATCAAAACAGGATATTCAGACTTTTTATTGTGTTTGGTTACCCAGATGACATGAACCAGTGATTTAATCTTTTTTCCAGGCTGAGTGACTAAGTAATTTTTCACGATTGCAATCAGATGTGGGTTTAGGCCTTTATCGTCCTAGAAGGGCTGGTTTAAGAATTTTGAAGTTAAGGCCAGAGAGAAGACTTTAAAGCTGTGGAAAAGTATAAGCAAGTAAACACAAAGTAAATCGGATTTATTTATGACAACTTTGATACCCCAAAACTTACGTAACTTTCTCGTGTCACTTTCCTATTGCAAGTTACATATTTGTTTAGCCTTAAGTTACTTGTACTTGATAGTGAAACAACAGACTGTGTGCTGCGAACTCTGACTCACTTCATTAAAAGTAAACTCCTTTCACAGCTGTGATTGTCAGGAGCAGTGAAGAGAGAAAATCTGCTTAACCTATCTCCTGTAATTTGTTTCACTAAACCAAAAGGGGAATGAAGTTATTTGTTTTTGTTGATAGCGATTACAGAGCTGCTCAAGACTTCTAGGCACTTTCAGAATCAGTCCCATCCCCAGTCCTTGCCAGATCTTTTCTGCAGTTAGACCCAGTGACAGTAGGGTGCACATGTGCTTTGAAGTTGATCTAAACACCAAAGCCATGGTCCAGATGCATTTGTCAGGCTGAATGCTCAGGCACTGCTGTTGGCATGTAGCCTGGCTGTCACGTAGGAAGAAGTCCTGTTCCTGCTTTCCCTGACCAAAATAGTAGGTGGTTTATGTTGTTGATACTGAGCTGTCTGAACTGCCTGTGCTGGGAGGGCAGGGATGTAAACACAGGGTTCAGAGGGGCTCTGGGCAGCTCTGTAGGGCAGCACTGCAGCTCAGCATCCGTGGGCATGGACAATTTTACCACAGGCCAAGGCAGTGCAGGTGCAGGAGGGTTGCCTGGCTGTGCTGCTGTCAGCTGTGAGCAAATCTGCATCTGCACATCGACACTGAGTTAGAATTTGTCCCTATGTCTGCAGAGCTTTTCGTGGCAGTTTGTTCATAGGTGTACTGTGTTGTGATCCAACCTCAAGAATTGCTTTTGGAGCAAGGGCAGGCACTGTGTTTTTCTTATTCTTGCATAAGTCTAGAGGCAGAAAGGTGAGGTGAGGAGGAACTGTCACTGAAGGGCATTGATCAGGCAGATCGGTTGGGGCTCGCTGGTTTGTGCTGCTCAGGGTCTCCTGTGATCTGCAGAAGGGTTGGGAGAGAGGAGTGTTTGGATCCTGCTCTTTGGCTGCAATACATATTTCTGCCTGGTCCAAGTTGATGAGGCTGTCAGTAAGTAACATGCTTTTCCTGAGTCCAAGGATTAAGGAACTAAAAATAATTTAAAATGCTCCTGTGATTGCTTTAGAGATAAACACATTTGTTGAAGTGGTAAGAGGGAGCAATGTGCAGGTTTGCTGTTGCTCCCTTTCGAAGCAATCAGCTTGCCAGTCAAAATAGGCTTATACCAAATTTAGCCACGTCGTATGCACAGATCTGGGAATGCAGGGAAAGCTCCACTGGCAGTGCCTTTTGCTGAGTCCCAGCAAGTGTGTTCTGTGTGTCGCTGCCTGGATTTCAGCTCCTCTTTGTGGCTGCAGCTCCTTCTCTTCCTCATCCTGGCAGCCAGCAGCAATTGCTCTTCCATAGTTCACCATGTAGCACTGTAAATCTCAGCTGTCTGCAGAGCTTTAAATTATTCTTACAGTTAATCCTTTGCTCCCTGAACACTTAATCAGACCTGTTAGGCCCTTGTACTGTCTCGGTGTAAAACACGAAGGAAAACTAGATGTGCTTTGCCTTGTAGGTTTGGCTTTAGGAGTGTTGATAATCTGCATGTAATGCTTTGTCTCCTCTGATTTGGGGTGAGAAAATATTGACAAAACGTGGATATTACTGTTAAATTGTGCTTGCAGGTGGGAGTATTTCATTTATGTAAGACTTGCGTTCTGTGCTTGTAATCCTTAGGTTGCAAGAAGACCCTCCTGTGGGTGTCAGTGGTGCACCATCTGAGAATAACATCATGCAATGGAATGCAGTTATATTTGGGTAAGAGTTCTTTATCACTATTAAATTCTTTATTGAAGGGCTAAGTATAACAACCTGGTGGGTTTTTTTGCAATAATTACCTTCTTTTATGTATATAAACTCAGAAAACATAGAAAAATTACCAAATGTGCTATCACAGTGAAAATCTGTTTTCAAGGATAATATGGGGTGCACAGGAAACAAAAAAAAAATTCAGATTTTTTCAACATTTTTGTTGATTAAAGCTTGCTTGTGGCTTAATAAATAGGTTAGACTGTGTGGGAGTTGGGTTATGAAAAAGCAGGATTCCTCTTTAAACTACATAAGCACTGCGTGTTCTCAGCCATTAAATCCAGATGTATTAGCAGTGATTGGATTGATTCCCAGTGGGACAAGGTACTGGTTCTGTCTGGGAAGTTACATTGCATGTCCTACAGAAGAGGAGCTGGCTCAGTAGCCTTGCCTAAAACTGAAGTATGTTTGCTAGTAATCTGCTCATTAGTTCCAGTCTGGTCACATAGTGGCAGGTGTATTGTTTGGGATGATGATGAAGTAGATACCCCAACCAGCAGAGTGACCATGAGGAAGTGTCTTGGATACAACAAAGCTCTCAGAGGTTGCCTCTGGATGCTTCTCTAGATATTTAAATTATTGCCTCTACCTGTACCTTGGGGAGGATGAGGAAGAAGATACAAATTTATTGTGCCTGTGTAGAAGTAGGTAATGATCACTTCTAACTGGAGTTTATTTTCAAACCCTTTCAGGCCAGAAGGGACACCTTTTGAAGATGGTAAGTCTCTAACTTTTGTCTCGTTTGTCATTCTTATAAATACTGCCTCTGTTAACATTGTTCTGCTTTGTAAAAATAATAGATGCTATCTGCATATACTTTGAAACAAACTGTGTTCAAACAGTGCTCAAGTCTGGGCCCCTCAGTTCAGGAGGGACATTGAGGTGCTGGAGCAGGTCCAGAGAAGAGCAACGAGGCTGGTGAAGGGACTGGAGCACAAGTGCCATGAGGAGAGGCTGAGGGAGCTGGGGGTGTTCAGCCTGGAGAAGAGGAGGCTCAGGGGAGACTTTATCACCCTCTGCAACTCCCTGACAGGAGGTTGGAGTCAGGTGAGGGTTGGTCTCTTCTCCCAGGCAACCAGCAGCAGGACAAGAGGGCACAGACTCAAGCTCTGCCAGGGGAGGGTTAGGTTGGATACTAGTAATAGATTTTTTTACAGAGAGAGTGATCAGACATTGGAATGTGCTGCCCAGGGAGGTGGTGGATTCACCATCCCTGGAGGTTTTCAGGCTGAGACTGGATGTGGCACTTAGTGCCATGGTCTAGTGACCACAGTAGGGTTGGACTCGATGATCTTTGAGGTCTCTTCCAACCAGGTTGATTCTATGATTCTGTGATTAAGCAAGTGAAGGAGTAAGGCTTGTTGGCTATAAAAATATGTATCTTGATCTAAGCAGTGTCTTGTCATTGATGGTTCGTTAGAACGCTACGAAGCAATGGTTCTATCAAGGCTTGTTTATACACACACACTAGACATTTGAGCTGGGGAGCCTGATGCTGCCAGATGTGTTTGCACATCTCCATAGCTGAGCTCAACAAGACTCTGCTTTTCTCCTTTCATCTTTTTGGCCTGTTTGATTCATTGCTGTTCTCCTAATGAAGAACAGGTGAAAAACCTCGAATTGTTCTGAATATAGAACTCAATGAGGGCGAGGGAATCCTGAATTTGTACATAAACATGAAAGTTGGTGTGTAATGAATCTCCCTTAGGCATATGAGGAATAACGAGTTTAATAATTATGGTATTATTGCTGTAATTGGCAGCAGATGGGGTTTCTCTGTGTTGGGTTGGAGGAGTTGGAGTAAATTATTCACTGATCCATAATAAAGGTTTTCAGTGAATCAGTTACGAGCTCCAAAGACTGAGATTGCTGATTATGAAATTCCAGTGTTTCTTTGCTGGCACCACAGTGCCTTCTTAATGAAACGCCTTAAAGTCACCCAATCCATGGAACCAGCATTTTGGGTCATGGAAAAGGGGGAGGGCAGTGGGATAATGTGGGATCTAGCTGCCTTTGCCATGTATACAGTGTGTCTCCAATCTTCTCCCCAACCTCTGCTGCTGGGTTTGTTACTATAAGTAGTAGTTCCATAGTTCCATTATCACTGGAAACACATGGTAAGAAACCAGACTGGGTGTTGCTTGTTGATATAATGGTGAGAAGAAATATTGATCATGGAGCACACAAATGAATTTGTTGTCTGTGTGCCTGGAGATGTTCTTTTGTTGTTACTTACCTGATTGTGTTTGTGTTTGTTTGGACAGGTACTTTTAAACTAGTAATAGAATTTTCTGAAGAATATCCAAATAAGCCTCCAACTGTTAGGTTTTTATCAAAAATGTTCCATCCAAATGGTGAGTACCTCATCTTTATTTAGCTGTGTTATCCTTTAAGTTTTGTGGTGTGGTCATGTGTTCTCCAGAGCTCTAGAATGCCTAACTGCTCTTCATCTCTCTTCATTGTCATCTCCTAAGTAGATGTCTAGGACAGCAACTGCTTGATGAAAAATTGAGAGTTATGATGCTATTAAGAAGCAGCTCTCTGCCTCTTTCTAATCAATATGTAGCAAAGCCTGTGAGTATTTTCAGCAGCAGCTGCACTTAAGTTGGCTTAAAGAGGCAATTCTGGTTGCAGATTCCTGCCCCCTTCCATTTAACAGCAGTTGTGTCTGTGCAGACACATTGTGAGCTGCAGGGAACTGATGGAGCCAAATGTTACTTCTTTCTGTCAGACAAGATTTCAGCCAAGTCTCCCTGCCTTTTGTCTGGTGCTCTATACCAACCAGGGAAACATGAGGGTGCTCAGTCATAGAGGAGGTGGCTGACCCGAGCTCAGTGATGAGGGCAGCGTGGTGACAACACGTGCCATGGTTCCTCCATAGCACTTGTTAGGTTTTATTCAGCTCTTAGTGCATGCAGAAAACACAAACCATGCCTGTTGCCCCTCTAGCAATAATACAGTGCAGTGCAGGCCAGTGTAACCTACTGTAATCTCCTGGGTTTTATTGGCATGAGCAAGCTGGAAGAGAAGGGTGTGAGAGTTTGAGTGGTGAGGCTCATACAGGCTCCAGTAAGACTACTAATAGGTATCCAGGCAGAAGTAGGATTTCAGTCACAGTTTTCTGTATTTTCTGTTGAATGCCTTGGTGCATCTCACAGCAGGTGCTGAGTGTGTGGAAACAGGGCAAGAACTGCCACCTCAGTGTGTGATGGGCACACGTGGGTCCCACTCCTGCAGCAAATGCCTCGCTGCTCTCCCTCTGAGACAGTATGGGTCAGTCACACTGCAGGAGCAGGAAACCAGGTCTGCCCATTCCCATGCTAAAGCCATCATCTTCTTTTCCTCTTAAGTGTTCTGTTACTTTCAGTAATAAATCTTCATAATACAGCACGTCAGGCTACAGAGGATTGTGAACCATAGCTGCTGTCCTCTTTCCTGAAGAACTAATTCAAGCACAGTCTGAATTGGAACATTAGCTGTGCCTTGAGCAGTGTGTCATGAGCAGCTTGTAACTCTGACAGTTCTGAGTGGTCTCTGTGGTGTTTTCAGTGTATGCAGATGGCAGCATATGTTTAGATATCCTTCAGAATCGCTGGAGTCCAACATACGACGTCTCGTCTATTTTAACTTCAATTCAGGTAACTTTGCATCTGTTTCAGCAAATCATGATGTTGTTGTTGGTCTCTGTTCCACAGCACACATCTCAGTGATGGGGATAGCCAGCTACCTGTATCAAAGGGAACTTCACATCCCTGTGAGCTAAGCAGTAGCTTTCTAGATCCAATCAAGGCAAAGGTGCTGACCTACATAATTACCAATTCTGAGCTACAAAACTGCCATTATGTGTTTTTGTACAGGAAAGCAGTTACTAGTTTGGGTTCCTTTTTAGCTGTTTTTAGTCAGGATAGGACATCAGACGCAGAAATTTGCCTCCTGTTCAAAGCACTAACCTTTATGGTGAAGCTTTGCCTTTTGAAGTCCTCAGAGGGACAATACTGCTGAAACATACTACTTGGCATAAGTAAAAATGGCCTGGCACAGCAAAAATGCACATTTTTTCTTGTCTCCTTTGTGACTGTCTTTATCTTTCTACAGAGAAGTTTTGTTGGAGGCATCTGAAGCTCCTCTTTAGTCCCAAACGACAGTAGTAATGTTATTACCAGACAGTGAATTAGTTTTATAGTGCTGACTGGCACAAATGGCCATGTCTCTGCTAGGTTTGTGAGCCTAGAAATGTGTGCAGTGCTAATGCTTGTACAGTGTGTAATTTGAGGTTCAGTAATGTAGTTAGGGGTGCCTAACCATGGGTTTAACTGGGGTTTTTTTGATTGGGCCTTCTTTGTCATGTCTGCCTTCTGAAACACATCTGACTTGAAAGTTTTCACTTGATTTTCCCCCTGATTTAAATGCGTTGGTTTGTCTCACGTTGTGTTTTCCCATTTTTCCAGTCTCTGCTTGATGAACCCAATCCAAACAGTCCAGCAAACAGCCAGGCAGCACAACTTTACCAGGAGAACAAACGTGAATATGAGAAAAGAGTTTCAGCTATTGTGGAACAAAGTTGGAATGATTCGTAACAGCTGCTGTGTTCCTCTCCATCCTCATTATCATTATGTACAATTTAACTCTCAGTAGAAAGGCTACCAGAAGTTTCAAGTGCCACAGATCAATGAATTTGCGTATAAAAACTCATTTGCAAACAAAATTAAGCCCTCCAGTTTAGGAAAGCTAAAAGCTTGTGTATCTCTATTAACGTCCTTTTTATTGCATGGTATGAACTAAGTTATTGCTACGTAAATTTGTAATATATCCTGTTTGTATTTTTTTCCAAGTGTATAATGTTGGTGTGGAGTTTTCATGACAGAATATACACATTTTGTAAATCTGTACTTTTTCAAATATTGAATGCCTTATTTTTGAATTCTTTAGATTTTTAAATTGGAGAAAAAGCACTTAAAGTTTTTATATATAAATATTTCATGTAAAACTGTTAAATACATAACCTTAGTGCAAGACATTCTGCTCTCACTCTGTATGTCTTTCCAAGGGCTCATTTTCAGTCCATTTTTTTCCTTTTGGTCTATGCTGATGATGCCATGCACTTTACAAACAGCAAAGTTAACCCATGATGTCACTGTCTTCACAGGATGTCTCTGCTTCTGCACCAGAGCTTACCTTGATTCTGTGTGTCCTCAGTTGTATGAGGAAGAGAAGTTTTGGTAGCTGCCAATTACGAATGGGGAAAGAGATGTAACTATTTTGCTAGAAGTCCCACATTAAACCAGCAGCAGAGTTGCAAACAGGACCTGGATGTGCCCAGGCTTGGGGATAATGTGTTCTAATAACTTTTCTTTTTCAGGGAGATTGTATTTTACCAAGTTGTAAAATGTTGTCATCCAAATCTGTCCTATATTCACATACTGACACTGTAATATAGTTTTGAATATCTTCTAATAATTAAAGAGGTGTCCCATTAGTTTCCCATGGGGGTAGGGAAGAAATTAATCACCAAGAGAAGAAAACATGTCTGCAGATTTAATGGATTTACACTTCAAATCTTGGCTGTGTACCACGTGCTCAGGTCTCGTGTCTGTATCACAGAGGTTCCACATATTCTTAAAGTGCTGCTTTAAAGAAGTTTGGCTTTGTTTTTTTAAGTGTTGATGTGATAATTTCTCACTGTGTTCCATAAACCAGGATCGATGGCTACAGTAAAGAATTAGGCCATTTTTTTTCTTCCAGCAGCAAAATTGTAACACCTTTGTCATAATTCCAACCAGCATTAGCTATGCATTAAACCTCCCAAATCCTTTACCAAAGTACAGCTCAGTGTTCCACTGAAAGGCAGTGGAAGTTTATTTCAGCTAGAAAAGAACACGTTGTTTACTTGCAAGTCATTACTAAAAGTTTAGCCTCAGTGCACTGAAACAAGAATATCAATTTATACCTGATGCCTGCTCATAAAGTTCTGTAGTTTCTAGAAGCAGCACTAGTAAGTTTAGAAATTTTAACAGAGTGCTGTCAGGCAACTCTGTCAGTAGTTTGTGGAATACAGCTACCTTAGATAAGAAGCAGCAGTGCTAAGTACACTGTGTACCAGTACTGACTGCACTCCACTCTGAGTCGGTTTGCTTTCCTTGAGTTGTGAATTTGTGTTTAAAAATTCTTCGATCTATGTCTAATTATTAACAGCAACCCTAAAGGATCCAATTTGCCTTTGGGCTATGGTGAAGTTACAGTAACACTAGTAAAGCAGTGCTGTGTGGCTCAAAGCAGCATCAGTGCAAAGGCTTTTGTTCACAAATGTTAATATGAAAAAGCTTCCTAAGGTAGCCTAAACTTTGAAGATTATTTTTACTAAGTTTGCCTCCTGTTGCAATATTTTTGTTCAGCATGAGCTGAGATTTGCCATTCGTTAAGAGTCCACATTAATTTGATTATTCCTGAACAGCCAGTTTAGCCCAGTTATAGATTGATGATGCTTGGAACGTGTTTTTGTGTCTCTGGGATGGAGAGACACATAATTGGAGCAGAAAAATATTTAATTAGTGATCAGCACTGCAAACTGCCTGTGCTGGGACCCATAATATACAGGTACATGTGTGTGTGAAGGTATAAGAGTATTCTCTTTGAGTGCAGAATTTGGAGCCTACAGTTAGTAAAGTCTAGCTGCAGAGTGTGAGCCCTCCGACAGAGGGAATTACTGTAAAGCATTGTATTCCCAGTGTCGGGGGGGAGGGACGTTTCTCCAGATTCCACATGTTAACACCGGTGATGCAGGAGCTGGATGTGAGCGGCAGAGGGTGAGAATCCAGGTTTGGATGCTGAGCTGTGGGTCCGCGCTGGCCTAGAGGAACTGGTGTTTCTTGCAGTGGGGTCCTGCAGTGGCCAGGGGGCTGCACTGGTGGCTGCTGCGAGCCCTCCACAAAATCCGTTAAAACTGGATAGAGAAACTATTCCCGTGCGAAAGGAACGAGCCCAGAGGAGATGATGCAGAGGAAACGAATGTAGCTCTCCGCTTGGCCGGCACGAGGTGCCCTCGCTCGCTGGTGATGCTCAGCATCTCCCACCCGGACACGGAATTATTCCTCCTGCATCCCGATGCCTTCGTGCTCGGCATCCCCTGTCTGGTGACATTTAAGGGCAAAAAGGTTGAAGTCTTATCCATTCGCAGTATAGCAGAGTCACAGTAAATTTTGTGGTGTGGTTATCTTCTTAAATAGTGTACTGGGATGCTTGATTTCTTAATTCATTGATTAGGAGTTGTAAACCACTAAGCTTGCTAGGACAGTGGGATTAATTAAGGAAGGACTGATGGGTATGCAGTTTTAGTTTATAGCTTCTCACAGGGCTTTGGTTCATGGATATTAAACAGTTCGTTATCGTTTCTTGTCCTTGGATTCCACGTAAAGATCGAAAATCACTTTTTAAATTATTCAGCCCAGTGTTTTTGAACTTGTATATCCACCTAATTCACTTGATTTTACGGGTGGACAGAGCCATCTAGCTCTGCAGGACCTGTGTCAGTCAGGAAGCTGTTCCTGGGCATTCCCCAGTCTGAGTTTCAGGTATGAGAACACCTTCCCCTTCAGGTTTGTCACAGTAACATTATTCATAAGAAGCATCAAACACTGCACTGCTGGTGCTGCTTTCTTCAGATCTCAGTTCCCTGAAGATGTCTCATCCAAATACAATCCCAAGCCAAAACTACAGGACTTGGATCTTCACAAATGTGATTAACTTCACTAGTGTGAGTTGTCCCATTGGGATTCTTCGGCGTAGTACAGATAAATGTGTGTAATTGCAGAACTGAGGCCTTAGGCTGTGAGAAGTGAAGAAATCACAGCTTGAAGTACTGTATCTGCAGCTTCTTTGTGGGAGGTTTTGTATTAATAGTCAATTAATTCAATGTGTCAAACAAATAAAGCTTTAAATATTTAGAGATTAGGAGGTGCCTAATAAAAAATTTACAGGCAAAAAAGGAAGATCCCCTGATCACTACAGTGGCATTGAGTTATTTAAAAAAAATAGGTAGGATAACATAGTTAAATGCTTCATGTTTAACATGTTGAGATTCCATGAGAACAGCTGTTGATGTATATGAAAGTGCACCAGGAGAGGACATCCAGCCAGACTTCCCAACCTGTGCTTTTATTTGAGCTTCTTACTGTTGGTGGGAGCTGTCCTAGGCAAATACTATGCCTTATTTGTTTCAAGTTGTTTTCTGGAAGAGGAAGGATATAATCAGCAGGCAATCTGCTGTAATGCAGACGTTGGCAAGGTGGGTCCTCCACCTCTCCTTTGGACAGGGCTGTGTGACGAGAGGCTGGTGGAACTTCAGGTGGGAAACAGTGACCAGAGACTCTGACTGAGTGGGCAGCATTTGTGTGTGAGCAGCCCCAGCTCCAGCACTCTGCTTTATTTCTTATTTATGTATTAAAACAATTACCTGGCCTTCTCTCCCTGATTTAGTTAATCTTTCTAATGCAAGAGCTTCAGCTGAGTACAGAATGAACATGTCCAGTGTCATCATGCCACCAATGGTGCACAGACCCTCAGCACATCCAATTTTCCTGCAGCATGTAACCTCAGGTATTGCACTTGTCACTGTTCTAAACCCTTGGATCCAGCCTTAGACCATATGAACACCACGTAGCCAGAGCAGTGAATGATTTAGGAGGCATTCTTTTTATTTCACAGAATCAACTGGATTGGAAAAGACCTCAAAGATCATCGAGTCCAACCCCACTGTGGTTACTAGACCATGGCACTAAGTGCCACATCCAGTCTCAGCTTGTAAACCTCCAGGGATGGGTGAACATAAGTATTCACAGTTCATCTCTGGAAACCTCTTCATATTAAAAGAAGAATGGTGAAAGAGGTAAAGGGAAAAGGGGCTAAATCTAAAAGAAAATTAAATATGTAGACCCAAAGAACAAAACCCATTAAGAACCTGATGCTGCTCTGCTGCTGCTGTTCATTCAAAGAATAGGAGTCATTTTAGAAAAGAAAATACCTTGGATTCTGTGTGTGTGTACACACAGAGAAAGCTTTCTGAGCTATTATAGAAACTTTAAATAGTTAGGGTGTAGCATTTTAAAATAAATGGGATTTAGGGTTTGAAGGAGGTTTTTTTTGCTTAGCATTGTTATTGCACCTTGAGTTCATCTCCCAGCTCAGCCACCCTGAGCAGAGAACAAAAAACAGGCAGAACTTTTTAGTCTCTGATAATGACTGTAATTAGCATCACAAGCTATGGAAATTGCCATATTCCCTAAAGGTTTCTTGTCATTATCCCATGTTTCTGCACTGAAAATAAAGGTTTTTAAGACAGGGTATCTTCTGTATTTGGTACTGTCCCACTAATGGTAATGTTCCAGCCTCCGTGACTGCCTGAATCCATTCTTAATGCTTGTGTCTGCTGTGGTCTGTGTGAAAGCTGTATCCTGCCAGAAAGCAAACATGCTCCTCTCAAACTGTGCATGTTGTTCAGCATCCAGAATGAAGCCTTTTTCTTTATGATGTGGTCAAAGCACGTAGTGTGGGATTTTCTGAGCAAATGTTGCTAGAAGAAAATGTGTTTTAGAATCCCAGTCTGTGAATGTTTCAATCAGGAGTTCAGTGAGGTCATAAAATAAATACTTCTTGCCCTTAAACATGTGCCAGGGCTGGGGCAAACTACTGTCTGAGAGCAGAGTTAGGGTTAGATGGCACTGACTGGTTGAACAGACCTGGCTGTAGAGGGTTGAAGGCAGGAAGAATTCCCTGCCCAAGCCTCCACCTGTAGCACAGGGTGTTCAGTCCTCAGCCCCTAGAACTGAGAAGATCTTGTATTGCTTTCCTTGTTTTTCAGTCTGGGTCATTAACTGCCGTGTCTGATGCATTTCTAAGCTGAATAATTTTGACAGCTGCCAATTTGGTACACATACCATGGGCTGAGCTGGGAGCTGCAAAGCTGGGAAGGATTCTGGAGGCTCTACCTGGCACAGCAACAGCCTCGGGCACAAAGGGAGACCT